TACATTGTGGGCTTTGCCAAACACGTGAGTTTGCAAACTTCCTCCTTTTAAAACTTATTCTTTTCTTCCATAGGAACATGATGTTCTTGTTAAAGGCGCTCTGTGCAATGCATTTGAATCTATCTGTCCTAAGTAGCCCACTCCCCAGCTGTTGTATAAATACTTTTTAGATATACCCTCCCCTGTTCCTAGTTTTCCCAACCCATGAGTTTCCTCTGTATTTGTTTTTCCTATTCTGCACCCTTCTTGCTTCATCTTCTTCCCTAATTTTATACTGCATTTTCCGCCTATATACTTTTATACTGCATATTCCGTGAAAATAAAGGAGTCTTGCCCAGCTTGCATACAAAGTCAAGCAGGTTATACCTTAAGTCAAGCTCTTGGACCCACAATGTTAGAGAGTTTAAAGTTAGGCAAATGAGTTTGACCATCCCTAGTAGCAGCTGTGTTAGTCTGTATTCCCAAAAAGAAAAGGAGGACTTGTGGCACCTTAGAGACTAACAAATTTGTTAGTCTCTAAGGTGTCACAAGTCCTCCTTTTCTTTTTGACCATCCCTAGTATTTGAAAAATAATGTTTATATGAAGCATATGGGTATTCTTTTGTGCCACTTTTATGGCCATTTCATAAGTCAGTTAGGCTTAGACAAGTCGTAAGTTATACCTTTTACTGTTTATGCATCTGTGAAGACTTGCTGTGCATAGGCAAAAAGCAACCTAGCTTTCTTGCTACAGATAAAATACAAAGTTGTAGCAGAAAGGAAAAATATGTAACATTTACTGGGACCGATCAATCCCTTTGCTTATTAAGGAATAGCAGGGCTTGTTTGTGATTAAGTCATGTAATTAAATCAGGATGGTAACCAATATTAACTAATAGTGGACTCACATTATGGAATTGAAGTTTCAGCAATGTAGGTGTCATGCAACATCCCATGGAGAATTAAAACCAGAAACAAATTGCCAAACACCAGTTTTGACCTGCCCTAAAAATTGCTCTGATTATACCTAGGTTTTTGGCCTACCGAGTGTGCAATGTTTTGAGAAATCACATGGCTTTTATCCATGGGGTTTTTGTTGTTTGTAAAAATCTGCTCTCAATTTTACAAGGTATTTCCTCCCTGAAATGACCTCTGAGGGAAGATTGAAAGAACTTGCGTTTGTTTAGTGTGGAAAAGGGAAGACTGAGAGGGGACATGATAACAGTCTTCAAGTACGCAAAAGGTAGTTACAAGGAGAGAGAAGAATTGTTCTTAATCTCTGAGGACAGGACAAGAGCTAATGGGCTTAAATTGCAGCAAGGGAGGTTTAGGCTGGACATTAGGAAAAACTTCCTAACTGTCAGGGTGGTTCAGCACTGGAATAAATTGCCTAGGGAGGTTGTGGAATCTCCATCATTGGAGATTTTTAAAAGCAGGTTAGACAAACACCTGTCAGTGATGGTCTAGATCAGAGTTGGGAAAACTACGGCCTGCGGGCCACATCCAGCCCGTGGGACGATCCTGCCTGGCCCTTGAGCTCCCGGATGGGAAGGCTAGCCCCCGGCCCCTCCCCTGCTGTCCCCCCTCCCCTATAGTTACACGCAGGCAGCACAGCTTGCACCTGCCCACCTCTCAGGCTTTCCAATAAGCCAGTCCTGCCCCTCTGAGTGGCATGGTAAGGGGATGGGGAATGGGGGGAGGGGGTTAATAAGGGGCAGGAGGTCCTGGGGGGCTGTCAGGGGACATGGGTCAGTTGGATAGGTGGACTTTCTGGGGGGGAGGGGCAGTCAGGAGACAGGGGGGTTGGATAGGGTGTGGGAGTCCCGGGGGGGGAGAGGGGTGGTCTGTGGATGTGGATAGGGGTCAGGGCAGTTAGGGGACAGGGAGGGCTTGGATAGGGTGGGGGTCCCAGGAGGGGGCAGTCCAGGGACAGGGAGGGTTGTATAGGAGGTGGGATCCCGGGGGGGGGGTGGTGGTGGTCAAGGAACAAGAGGCAGGGGGAGTTGGATGGGGCAGGGATTCGCAGGGGGGCAGTTGGGGTGGGAGGGGGCCAGGCTGTTTGGGGGAGGGGGGCACAGCCTTCCCTACCTGGCTCTCTGTACAGTTTTGCAACCCCGATGTGGCCCTCAGGCCAAAGAGTTTGCCCACCCCAGTCTAGATAATACTTAGTCCTGCCATTACTGCAGAGGACTGGACTAGATGATCTCTTGAGATCCCTTCCAGTCCTATGATTCCCTCATTATACATGCTGAAGACTAAATGAAAGAACCTCCAGTGGGCAACTTATCTTAAGCAGTCACTTTATTCTACACTTGACATTTTCATTCCAGTTTTAGACTTTCATTTGAGTACCTCTGTTTGCCAGAAGCTGGGAATGAGCAACAGGGGATGGATCACTTGATGATCACCTGTTCTGTTCATTCCCTCAGGGCACCTGGCACTGGCAGAAGATAGGATACAGGGGTAGATGGACTTTTGGTCTGACCCTGTAGGGCCATTCTTATGTACTATTATGCAATGAATTTTGCTGCTCTGTTGAGTGTTTCTTTATAGAAGAGACAGTCTAGTATAAGCTAATTGTCAGAAATTGACATTTTAATACCCTAAAATTTTTTATGGTACATTACCCACTAGATCAAACAGATCAAGGCAGGAAATGAACTAGGGTGTCCTGTATGACAATACAGCATACCAACAGGTAGCCTAAGGAACTAATCTCCTACCCCCAATTGACAAATACCTTCAAGGCTTCAGGACCGCATTCTATGAGGTCTCTTTCATCCGAGACCTCTTAGAATAGTAGAGTCCTGACCACTAGGCAAATCGCCACACTCCTAAAGTTATTAACCACCCTATATCAAATGTAGCAGTCCGCACAGTAGTTAGGTTTCAATACAAGTCTGAATCTAACTTTTCAGTCTGTGGGATCTAGGCCAGACATTAGTGACCAACACTGTCATGCATGAATGAATGAATGCCACACCTTAAAGTGGTGGACTCCCCAGAAAGATGCCTATTCAATTCCTTTCATATATATTTTTGTAATAGATTTAGGAGCCTAGTCAGTTAGCTGCTTTGGAAAATTTTACCCTAAGCCACTTTTGAAAATGGCACCTAATACCTCTTGGAAGTCAATAGGTCTGAGGAGCCTAAATCACTTAGCTGCTTCTGAAAATTTTACCGGCATGAAGACTTTCCCTAAAAGCTTGTAATTTAAGAAGTTTGAGGGCTGGATCTACAAAAGAACTTAGGCACCTGCCACTTTAGGTGCCACCAAGATCCTCAAAACACCCTCTCAGCTACTAACTCTGTAGGCAGCTAGAGTTCTATGGCGCTTAAGTTTCTGCCAGTAAGCATGCACACGGCCACTTCAGTTTAGGTGCCTCTCTTGCATATACAGCCCAGCAGAATCTTCAAATTCAGTGTTTCCCCTGCCTAGGTAGTAGGCAGGCATGCCCATTCCCACACAAAACAGCCAGAGGTTGTGCCTCCCTTATAGCTCAGTGGTTAGTACACACATGCTGGTGGGACACCAGATTCAGTTGTCCCACTGCCTGATGTGGATAAAGGATTTGAACTTAGGTCTCCTCCCTTTCCCCTCAGGAAAATACCCTACTCACTGGGCTATAAAGGTATCATGGAGCAGGCCTCACTCTTTCCTGTTCCACTATGGATAAAATAATTAGAGCACAGGGATTGGCACCTGGGTCTTCCACATCACTTTAAGCACTGGCTAGACATTTAAGGGGGCACCACCACCGCTCCCACCTCTGCCTTGTTTCTTAAAATAAAAAAAAATTGTTGGTTTAGTGCATAGATACTGGGCAGTGTTGGTGGCCTGTACTATACAGGCCAGATTACATATTCCAGTGGTTCCTCCTGGCCTTAACTCTATGACTAATGCATTCCAAGATGTAATAAGTGCTTAACTTCCTCAGGGATGGGGTCCAAGCCATTTCCTACTGGCTACCTTAGGTGACTTCCCAATCAGTGTTCTGGCTTTTATGAATCTCATTCTTAGGTGCCTAAATCTCTCCCTGCATTGTGCAAGGCATCTAGGCCCCAAACTCAGGTCTGTGTATTCCACTAGGGAGCACGGCTCCTACAAGTTAGGCACTGCAACTCAACATTGCAGCACTTTAGTCCCTTTATGGATCTAGCCAATAGTCCACTACCGAATGTTGGAGAAATAAGAGGAAGTTGACCAGTATAGGTGTTACTAGCCAGTAAAGATCAGCTATCAAAGGTGTTTTTCCCTAAGTGCTCAGTGACCCTAACTTCCACTGCAATCATTTGAAAGTGCACATGGTCAGCACCTTTAGAAAGGTTACATGCTAAAGTTATCAGATCAAGGGACGACTCCTCTCTGTAGGTGAAAGAGTTCCCTTAAGAATTGTTTGCCTTCTATAAATACCAAATACTCGAAAGGATTAATTCATAATGCCATAAATGAGTGCCACTAATCCAATATAATGTACAGTTATGCTGTTTCCACTGTAGCTTTGGAAGGTGTATATAAATCTCTGAAGCAAGCACAGCTGAATGAAACAAATGACATTCACTGAAAGTACAATTCAGTTTTAACAAATTAACAGTTTGGAGACAGGTCAATACACAGTACTTTTTTTTTGGGTAACGCTATACCAATCTGTAATAGATTTTCTGTCCCACAGCAAGTGAAGCAAGTTAAACCTCTTGGTTCAGTAAAAGCAAAAATGGAGCCCATCTTGGTACATATAAGTGGAGAAAAAACAGGCTCAATTTAGACTTACTGTAAATAAGACATTTTCCCAAAACAAAGAGGGAACTGGATTCACTGTGTAATAATCATTGACGGAGATTTTATTCTGGGAATGTTTAAAATTTTTTACTTCAGTGGCAGAGGGCTTTAGAATGTTATATATTTCTACACATTTTAGATCAGAAGCAAAAGCAAAGCCCTTCATATAGAATACGTTCTAGCAATACAACAAGAGAGCACATTAAAAGTAACTGATTTCAGTTCTTATGAAAATAAGCACTAAAGTACACATTGCATCTTTATTTTTTCCACATTTTGACACCAAAAAATTAATGTTTTCTGTTACAGTTTTTTAGAGGATGAACACAAGTTTTATTATTTGATTAAAATCAAAAATTAAAAGAATTAAAGCATTTAGACAAAAGGCTATTGCTTTGCTACCAAATAGAAGTAAAAGTTGCCTCAAGTACATAGCAAGTAAGAGTTTCCATAAGAGCAACTAAATATTACACTGTATCTAGTTAAAGTAAAAAAAGATATAACTATATTAATTTATATCTAAGTTTTTTTAAAAAAGAGAAAGTACCACTTTTATAAGGTTACAATGGTAATTTTATATAGAATATGCAATATGTTGCAGACTTAAGTGCACCAATTTTATACATTCACTTTATATTCTATTTGTATTTCAGACTTCACTGGTTGTGTAAAAAATCAGTTGCCTGTAGCTAGGTTATGGAATTTAGAATGTTTAGACCTATTTCCACGGAAAAAAGAAAATAATTAACTGAATCCAAGATGAGTAATTTTAACCTAAATTAAAAGTCAAAGCATAACAATGCCCTCTTCACATCAAACATGAAACTTCATGATATAGGGAGTATCCAAGAGGAGTATAGAAGCAACGCATTTTTACATGAACATCTGCAAGGAGTATCATCTTAAGCTGCGTGGGAAAGACTTGACAAATTATGTTTGAAGAACATAGCCCTGCAGTAATTTTATCTGCAGTCTGAATCATGCTGGTGAAAAATTTAAGATGTAGCACAGTGCTTTAGACTTTGAGTCCTTCAATAAACAACAAAAAACGGATTCAAAGAATATTTTGGTAGCAAATTATATTTGATGCAAATTTTATTTTCACACATTTTACTAATAAATAAGTTCCTCTATAAAGACAGATCTGTTGCCAATTAGATCTGTAATTATTAGGTTCCTACAACAGTATTAAGCACTAAAATTAAGGGTTACAATTAAAAAAACCTGATGTTATTCTTAGGTGGAGTTACTAACGTTACTAAGACCTTACAGAACTGTCTACAGCAGGGTTAGTTACATTTACTAAAAAGTTACAGTATTACAGAAGAGTTTATTGCCAGACTTTCCCTACAAGCTACAATATATCAAATTCAGCTGAACAATTACAATAAAATGCATCCAAGAATGCATTTCCTTTTGTCAGGTTAATATCATCTCCTCCTTCCTCACCCCTACATTGTGTAGTAGAGAAAAAAAGTATAACCTCTTTTCTGTACGTAGTCAAAGCATTTAAACACAGCTTCATATTTTACTACATTTTTGCCCTTCTCAGCTTCCAAGTTTGCAAAAACAAATATACAGTTTCTCAAAAATGAATTTAAAGATGTCCACATTAAAAAATAACTACAAAAAGTCCCAGAGATCTAAAAAAATGTTACTCATATGGCACAAAGTTATCTCCTACTAGTCCAGAAAAAGTTACTGATGTCCATTTATACTGTCTTGTTTATTTATGCTTCATTATTCAAATTTGTCAAGTTGCAATCACATTTGTAAGCAGTCCTTGCGACGACAGTAGGGAAGAAGAGTTTTTTTTCTACAATTAAAAAAAACGGAGACCAAGTTGGGTGTGCCATAGGAGATGATCAATCAGCTAGGGTATCTGCCTCAGAGACACCAAGATACTTAGAAAAAGGATTTCCTTGGTTGGTTTCCATAGATTGATAAACCACAAACAAGAACACTGACACAACAACAAACAGCAGAATCTTTATCCACATGGGAATGGAGCGTTTTTTTGTTGTTGGTTTCTCTGGTTTGTCATCTGCTGAGGGAACATATTTTGGAATATATTTAGATGAAAAGCTTTCCTCCATTCTGAAGTCACTGAGCTCTATAGGTCGGCCAGCAGCTCCTTTGATTGGTCTGCGGCAGCTAGCACTGTTAATTAAAAAGAATAATTTGTCACATGTTTAAGCGAGCAATCTGAAGTACATAAAAAAAGTTTTAGTTTAAATGGATTAAGGATCTGTTAAGGATCAAAATGCACACCAGATACTCTGTTTTAAGAGGTTAAGGACGGATTTCACTACTGCCCCTGGGTAAGCTTTCAAGCATACAGTTCACATTTTACTTTCTCTTTCCCATCACTGGTGAAGAGTGTCTTTCAACCCTATATGCAGAAAGATTGATGGGATACACAAATAGCCAGACTTAGGTATCAAGCAGGGCTGTCAAACAATGAAAAAAATATTAATTGCAATTAATCGGTGTTTTAATGGCATGGTTAAACAATAATAGAATATTTAAATATTTTTGGATATTTTCTACATTTTCAAATATATTAATTTCAATTACACAGAATGCTTGCCAAGGTGGACTGGATGAGGCTCCAGATGTTGGAAAAAAAAAGTTGTTAGTGATTAGTGTCCTCTCTACTTTACCAAAGTTCTTAGCTCTCATTGTTGTCCTTCCTCAGGGAAGGACGAAGAAGTAAAGAGGTGGAGTTAGTCAAACCAGCAGTGCAAAGAAGAAGAAAAGCTGCTTTGGGAGGGACTACTCTCCTTGCCCTACAATGGTACCACAGCAAGCAGACAGGGGTCCATACTGATAAAGAGGAAGTCCCTGATTTTAGGGACATGGGGCAGACATTCACGGATATAATTTCTTAACTATTAGAATGTATGTGCTTCTGAGGCATGCAATGTTTAAAAATGGTCTCTGTTGGGACATTTTAAATTCCAGTAACAACGTCAGTGCTTCCTGCATACCAGCAGTGAATACTCAACACTTCATTTCAATGAACTACAGTAAAAGCTGTGTTATCCAGCACTTCACCAACTGTAAAGCTCTAGAAACTGGCATTTCTGATATCTCCATTAAAAGTCTAGTTGGTGCAGGGCCAGCAGGCTCCCTACCTGGCTCCTCGCAAGCAGCAACATGTCCCTGCTGCTCCTAGGTGGAGGAATGGCCATGAGGGCTCCGTGCGCTGCCCCTATCTCGCTCCATTTGCTGGCTCCGCTGTTCCCATTGGCCAGGAACCGTGGCCAATGGGAACTGTGGGGGCAGCATCTGTGGGCAGAGGCAGTGCGCAGAGACACCTGGCCATGCCTCCACCTAGGAGCAGCAGGGACACATCGCCACTTGCAGGGAGCCGCCGAAGGTGAGAGCTGCCAGATCCAGAGCCCCAAGCCACCTCCTGCACCCAAATTCCCTCTCAGAGCCCATACCCCTTCCCCCATCCTTGAGCCCCCTCCCACACCTAAACTCCCTCCCTCCATTGATAAGTATAACTCTTAGTTAACTGGAATTTTTGACTAACCGGGACCTCCCATTTCCCCCAACATGCTGGATAACAAAGCTTTTCCTGTACAACCATTCTTTAAAGAAAAGACATAGGCATCAATGTAGGTAGCTCAATGAAAGCCTGTTACTCTGATCTCATCATCTTACACTTTCAGTCTGTGCAGTTGCCACTGTTGTCTATTTATAAAGAGCTCCTAGGCACAGACCACCTTTGTTATGTGTTTGTAAGATTACTACCACAATAGGGCTCTAGGCTTTACGTGTTACTGTTGGACAAGCTGAGAACAAGAATTCTCACTTTGTAGCAGCAATCAAAAACAAAGTGTTTGGATGCACAAGAATGAGAGAGTATATTAAAAAAAGTCAGTGATACACTGAATACTGTACTTAATGTCTGCTCATTCTATCTCAAAGATTTAGCAGAAATTTCAGGAGGTTTCACAAATAAATTATGGGAATCAGGAAACATACAAAGCCTTCGGTATGTTGAATCTCGAAAGAGACTGGGGTTACTTAGTTTAGAAGATAAATCAGAGGCATATGATGGAGAATGAAAAATAATGAATGGTATGGAGAAGAATTCAAGTCAGTCGTTTCTTTCTACCTTCCTACATTATACAAGGAGAAAAGGAGATTTAATGGAATTCAAAAGGCAACATACTTTTAAAGTGAAATCCCTTTTAACACAACACCTATTGACTCAGGGAACTCTGTCTCAAGATATTGTGGCCAAAAGCTTAAAAAAAAAGAGAGTTACAGTACGATTTAGGACTGGAAGTTCTATACAGATAAGAACATCTAGTTACATTAGACAGCATGCCTATATGCTTCATGCTTCAGTGCATTAGGCAATCACTAATTGAAGAAGATTAGAAAAAACAAAGGGAAGTTATGGACAAGTTATTCCATAATTTTATATAAATTTTTTTTTGGACACTTTCCTTTGAAGCAGCTGGTACTGACCAATGTCAGTCCAGTGTCTGGTCTCTATATGGACCATTAAGCTGATTATGGCTACAGAATTCAGTGCTCTGCTGAAGCAGTACTTTTAAAAAATGTGTCTTGGACTCGTGCATATCCTTCTGCCTGGAACACAAGCTAACAGGATATTTTTAGCCTCAAATAAGTTTTTAAAGTTTTACCATTTTTATTATTTAAAATCTCATTGTGGAATACTGGACTTCATTTCAGAAGAAATTAAACTGGTTTAATCTAGATGTTAGTTTGACATCTGTAGTACGCAAGGTCTTGGAAAAAATTTTGAGGGAGAAAGTAGTTAAGGACATTGAAGTCAATGGTAAATGGGACAAAATACAACATGGTTTTTAAAAAGGTAGATCGTGCCAAACGAACCTGATCTCCTTCTTTGAGAAAGTAACAGATTTTTTAGACAAAGGAAACGCAGTGGATCTAATTTACCTAGATTTTAGTAAGGCACTTGATACCGTGTCACATGGGGAATTATTAGTTAAATTGGGTAAGATGGGGATCAATAGGAAAATTGAAAGGTGGATAAGGAATTGGTTAAAGGGGAGACTACAACGGGTCCTACTGAAAGGTGAACTGTCACGCTGGAGGGAGGTTACCAGTGGAGTTCCTCAAGGATCGGTTTTGGGACCAAATCTTATTTAATCTTTTTATTACTGACCTTGGCACAAAAAGTGGGAGTGTGCTAATAAAGTTTGCGGATGATACAAAGCTGGGAGGTATTGTCAATTTAGAGAAGGACAGGGATATCCTACAGGAGGATCTGGATGACCTTGTAAACTGGAGTAATAGTAATAGGATGAAATTTAATAGTGAGAAGTGTAAGGTCATGCATTTAGGGATTAATAAGAATTTTAGTTATAAGCTAGGGATGCATCAATTTGAAGTAACGGGGAGGAAAAGGACCTTGGAGTATTGGTTGATCATAAGATGACTATGAGCTGCCAACGTGATATGGCTGTGAAAAAAGCTAATGCGGTCTTGGGATGCATCAGGAGAGGTATTTCCAGTAGGGATAAGGAGGATAAGTACTGTTATACAAGGCACTGGTGAGACCTCACCTGGAATACTGTGTGCAGTTCTGGTCTCCCATGTTTAAGAAGGATGAATTCAAACTGGAACAGGTACAGAGAAGGCTACTAGGATGATCTGAGGAATGGAAAACTTGTCTTATGAAAGGAGACTCAAGGAGCTCGGCTTGTTTAGCCTAACTAAAAGAAGGTTGAGGGGAGATATGATTGCTCTCTATAAATATATCAGAGGGATAAATACTGGAGAGGGAGAGGAATTATTTAAGCTCAGTACCAATGTGGACACAAGAGCAAATGGATATAAACTGATCATTGGGAAGTTTAGACTTGAAATTAGATGAAGGTTTCTAACCGTAAGAGGAGTGAAGTTTTGGAACAGCCTTCCAAGGGGAGCAGTGGGGGCAAAAGATCTATCTGGCTTTAAGATTAAACTCAATAAGTTTATGGAGGAGATGGTATGATGGGATAACATGGATTTGGTAATTAAATATTCATGGTAAATAGGCCCAATGGCCTGTGATGAGATATTAGATAGGGTGGGATCCGGAGTTACCCAGGAAAGAATTTTCTGTAGTATCTGGCTGATGAATCTTGCCCATATGCTCAGGGTTCAGCTGATTGCCATATTTGGGGTCGGGAAGGAATTTTCCTCCAGGGCAGATTGGAAGAGGCCCTGGAGGTTTTTCGCCTTCCTCTGTAGCATGGGGCATGGGTCACTTGCTGGAGGATTCTCTGCTCCTTGAAGTCTTTAAACTACGATTTGAGGACTTCAGTAGCACAGATATAGGTGTGAGGTTTTTTGCAGGAGTGGAGGGTGAAATTCTGTGGTCTGCGTTGTGCAGGAGGTCAGACTAGATGATCATAATGGTCCCTTCTGACCTAAATATCTATGAATCTGTGTAATTTTAAAAAGAAGATTCCTTATCTGAACTAATTCCATTTATAAAAGACTTATTTACTTTTAGTATCTGAAGCCTAAATCACATCACATTTCAATAACGTTTGTGACACTAGAGCAAACTCTTGTTAGCCCAGGTAAATTCAGTTTTAGTTCTAATGGGATAAGTTAATTTTAAACACAGTTATATGCAGAAAGGCGTGCCACCTAGCTCTATGGTGTGCTGTGAGGTTGAGCCACAAAGCACAGATTAATTCTTAGAGATTTCCTAGCAATACAACCTAATTACACCCAGAAAAAAAGGTCTTTGTTCTATCAAAATTGACAGGTTTAGAGTGGTAACCATGTTAGTCTGTATCAGCAAAAATGAGGAGTCCATGTCTCCTCAGCGTTTTTATCAAAATTGAGTAAAACATAAAATACTTTAATTGTACCTAATTCCTGTAGGTGTGGATGCTTCATATGGGAACATTTCCTTAAGAATATCTCTTTCTACTCTTCGTTCTTCTGCTAGTGTTTTCTCCACCACCTATAGGAACAAATAGAACAATTATAAACCTTACCAAACTCAATAGCTTTTTTCCTCTAGTATAGATATTTAGAGCAACCATAACCCTAGGTGATTTGAAAGGGAGAATTTGGTTCACCCAGTGAATTTTAAGAAGTCTTTCCTGGATTTTAATTGTTGGTTTAAGCTTTGTTACTGGCAGCTGTCTAGTGATTTTTGGAGTCCAGATGCATTCAGCGTTGTCCTCAGTTTCCTTCAACATGAAGAATACTTTGTTGTTACTTATGCAGTACTTATACACCAATCAGACAACAATACAGATGATCAAAAGGGACTAGTCATCACCTCTATCATGGCTGTGTTGAGCAGATCACTGGATTGTGTGTGACCAATGTTAACAGTATGTTTATGAGGACGACCTGTTTCCTCTTGCTGTGGTAAGCGAAAGTGCTGCAATATAGCAAAACACTGACTTCACAGGCTTATTGGGATTGAGACAGTAAAGCACTCGTTTTTAATAAATTTAATGGGTATCTGCTCAGTTACCAACATGGTGTCAGATCATCTCTGTATTTCAAATAAGGTAGCCCATTACACATTACATGAAGATGTGGACACTGGTTTTTAATTAAACATTTCTTACCTATTTTTAAGGATGAGTTTTATTCAAAATGAGCAATGCAAAAGTGATAAATTCTACTGATTTCTATTAGGAAAATAATGCTGCAGAATAGCATACAATATCAGGTCTAAAATTTTTAGTATATAAAAGGTTTCCAGAGATAATATAGTCAAACACTGTAGAAGCAGGGGCATTTTAGCTATTAAAGAAGAGGCAGATCTACTCCAGTAATGTTACCTTGGAGGCTTTTGGTTTAAAATAATCCTGCTATTTGATGCTGGAAATTAAGCCACAGACTTGGATCAATTTTTCAAAATTCAAGAGTCATGTACTCTCTCTATTCAACTGACTTGACAAGGAATTGTACAAAAAAAGCAACATGCTACACTGATGACAGAAGCAGCACAAAAACTGCAAACATGACCCCAGAAATGCAGAATGGCTCAAAACTAAACAGGTGTTTTACTGGCAAAACTTTTAAACCTTAACATTCATCAGTCAAGCCATGGTACAATGCTAGTGTGATCTGAATATCCTCATACCACCTCTTAGAGAAGTACACCCTCATTCCCACTTCTGCAGGAATGCATAAATAAATAAAATAAATATAAGAACTCTATCCAGAAAGAATAATGATAATCTAAATTTTAATTCATTTACTTCAGCTGTCATCAATGGTTTCTTTGGTGTTCTTCTGGGCAAGTCTGAGAATTCACTGATTGACAGTGTAGGAGCTGCATGCTTGAAATTTCCAGGCACCCTATTGACAACCTGCTGAGATTCAAATTGTTCAGACTCAATTAACCAAAATACAATAGAAAAACAAAAATAAGACAAAATCTGTGTTAAACATTTGGGTACTAAAAGTTATCACTCAGAGGAAAAAAAAAAGGATTTAAGAGGAGCTACTTTGGAAGAACGTTCTAAATACATTAGTGACATAGTTTCAGTATTTTTTTCTTAAAGTGGTTTAGTGACAGAAGCTCACAAACACTCAAGGCAGGTTTGTTGCACATGTTAAATAAAATGGACCCTCCATGAAGGTTGTGGTACTGAAGTTCCCCAACCTTCCACTTTTAAGAAGATAGGAACTATCATACAGGCTCAGACCAGGCCAGCCGCAGGAGGCTTCAGGGAATGGTGTAAGAACATATGCTCATATAAGACTGATAAAATGGAGAGGAATGCATATCTGATAGAAAGTAAAAATACATTAAGTATTGGGGGCTATCAAGTAGAGTTAGATTTGTTTAAACTGAAAATGCTTTCTAGTGTAAGTTAAAAAGGTACATTACAGAAGGATACCACTTGTATAATTTATTAGATATATTTACTAGGGTCTCGTTGCTTGAAGCCACTATAGTTTCAGCTATGGGAGTACCCTCTGACATTACTGCATCATCTACAGGCAACTGTGCTGTAGTTTCCACCTGTTTGTTTAAAAAAAACAAAACAAAAACAGTGAGTGTAAAAAATAGTCTCTAGGGCCCTGACAATCTCAGGAAAAAGTAAAACGAGTCTAGATTGCAATAAGCCTCATCACCCTTTTCCTTGGTGTTCTTCTTGATACTCTTGTAGACTCCCTAGAAACTGCCTGAAGAGGTCCACTTTTTGAAGATCCACTTGTCCAGATAGCCTCAGTAACTCCATCTTGAGAATAGTTCTATTCAAGCATCAAATAGATTAGCAAGCATATAAAAGCCATGTCCCAACACTGAAGTGTCCATAACTAAAAGGCACAGAAGCATGCATATTCCAGATGTATGTGTGTAGCACACTTGCTTTCCAAGTATCTTGCTTTTTAGAATACTGCAATATTGGATATCAAGGGATAGTACTCAACACTACCCTTAAGAGGATTCCTATTTATATGGAGTTGAACAGGCAATGTATAATGACTATCAGAAAAAAGTGAGAGCTACCGTCTCCAGTAAGTGTAGAGTATAAATGGTTTACATCACCACTGGCTAAAACCTGATCTCTGGCTTGAGCCTGGATAAGAACCACTGATGAGCGGATATGCCATTTTACATTTAACCCAGATATCTTGTCTGCATAAATAAAAAACAAACCTCTTGGGCATTTGTGGAAACAGGTGTTACCAAAACCCTTTTCTCAGATGCAATTTTAGCTCCTCTGAACACAAGATGGGGAGATTTCCAAAAGACACATACAGCAGTTTGAAATTCATCAGAAATTGTTTGCCTAACTACCATTTGTGCTTTTGAAAGTCTCCCCCATAACTGTAACAAGTGTTATATCCATAAATTAAGCTTTGCCCATTCCTTATGACTAAGACTTGAGACATAATTAATCAAACCTAAACCAGTCCATTGGATACTAAAAAACAAATGTCATACTAGTATTAGAATAAGATTTAACTTATGAGTTCTGCAATGGGGGCACTGGAGGAAAGAGGTCATTCACCACAGTAATAATAGTATTGTGGGTTTAAGTAACTGCGAACACACTCTGCAGGTTAAGTCTCAGGGAGTGAGGAAAGACCCCAAATCTACAGAAGCAGCATAAAAGCTGCAGTTTTACACTGGCAACTTGAAACACGATTAAAAATCCCAAATCCATAAAATAGCCAATATTGAACAGTTAGAAACCAGAGCGTTACCACTGTATTTAAAAAAAACAAACTATTTTTTGAGGGAAAGAAGTTTACACTAGTAAAAAAGCAAGCTAATAATCTGAAGCCAGTAGCAAAACAAATGCAATGTGCATGTTTTCCTTTTTTTTTTTTTTTTAAAGGAATAAATAAATTCAGGAAGTTTGGTAGTTTGCCGTTATCATTTAGAAGATTGTTTTTTCTCTGATGTTTCAGGAAGAGCTAACCACCTCAGATTAAGATTACCCCCAAAATCCATAGAAAGTTACAAGTGGGGCCCTGAAAAAATCACACAAGAAATGGTGGATCCTCCTTTCTGTCGTAGGAGATCCCATTGACACAAGATCAGGTCACAGAGCACTTTCATGTTTTGCAAGATTTTAACAAAGCAGGCTGGAAGATAAAATTATCTAGTGTCTGTTTCCAGTAAAGAGTATCCTCCAATCAAGTAACTAATATAGCTAGAAGTCAAATAGCAGGATTCTCTGCACAGTTTAAAGATTGCTTGTTTATTGTTGCTACAAATCCAGGAGAAGGAGTACAAGTTTTTATTTAGGTGAGACAAGTTATAGTCTCCTAAATTTTTCAGTTACTAAGTGGTGAATTTTTAATTGGATTTTGAGAAAACAAACGTCACTTCCCACTAGATCCTATGTTTCTGAGCCTAAACTGTTGGCAATATTTCTTTAAATTGTAAGAAAACTCTTCTCAAAATAACCATCTCCCTTCCCCCCCCACAAATTTTGGATTATTTCCTTTCCTAAAAAAGAAGGATAATTTTGAAAGTTTACTGTACTTTACTGAAGTTCATTCATAAATCTTTGCCTGTTACAGGTTTTAAATTATATCGTTTGCAGCTTTAACCATTCAAAGTACTTTCAGCTTCTACTATGGGCATTTAGCATTTCCATTTACTAGTTTTTAAAAGAATATTAATGAGTCCAGGTCAGCCTACCTAAAGAGAGGGTTATGATGGTTTGAATCAGTAAATATTCATCATTTTGAAAAATTTGTATGAAGAGTTTTACTATTCGCATTGAATCAACCTGGTGAATTGGATAAGATACCAGCTGAATTAACACTCAGTCATGGATATTTTCAGGAAAAATCCACACACGCTATAAAACCATCTCAGAGATACTTAATTGTACATCACTGAGTCTGAAATCTGCACTGATATATTATAAAAGAAGCTACTGACAGTAAGCCTTTGTACTTTCATAACTAAAGTGGAGTACTATTTTGGCAGACCAGATACATTTGAAATAAATACTTAGTCTGGGGTCCTAGATATTTCAAGTGATCAGGCAAGAAAGTCAAATTAACACCCATTTGTTTAATCTAGGAGGTTGTGAAAGCAGGTTGTTTTCTGAGGGTGTTCTCTCAGATATATTTCTCCTGTTGGTCTGACAAACTGCTAAGATTAAAGACATTCAGGTGACACTGCAAGGTCTATTTGATCTCTTGGGGTCCTGGGAGAGAAGGGGTTTGTTTGGAGTACAGGCATGTTTATTTTGCCAAGTGGGTCCATTCAAGGGGCACATATTGCCTTAATGTATATTTTATTAAGACTTCACAACACTTGGTCTTAACTTTGTTTCTCATTATGGTTCTTAGACAGGATGCCACTGATTTCAACATGACCGAGTTGTCAGCGTGCTCGCTCTTGAAAAAAAGACAAACATATGCATGCTCCAGGATAGAGGCCTGATTTTTCAAGATATTTGGACATGTCAACATCTCTGTCATATTGAAATCAGTGGGAGCTGCTGGAAAAGCATCGGGGGGGAGAACCGGGGGCAACAGGAGGAAGAGGTGGGAGGGATATCAGGCATCTTGTTTAGGAATCTAACTCAAAGTATTCATTTAAAAAGGATTCTTGGCTGATTAAGTGTTTAAATATCCTTTAAAATAATATTGTGCAGTCAACAATTTTGAATTTTTGCTTCAACTGAAAGAGCAGAAGTGTTTCAGTATGACTCCTTGATTTTGATTCCCATCAAAGTGAACTGGAACAGTTGTGACAATAAGTTACATTATCATATGTCTATGTATGCCCCAACCCAGACAAAATTAAAGTGGTACTTGGATGTCTGTTTCAAAAAGATATCAGACAAAATTAGTAAGAGTTCACCATTTCTAAGACAGCCACTGGTGACAAATTCCAGAGAAAGGAAAAATTCAGAGCAGTGTGCACTAGTATCAGTGGCTAAAACACCATTTTAAAAGAAATGTTTCTATTTTGTCCCCTCATACTGCTGGACCACCCTCACCAACACAGCACAGATCATTGCGAAGTTCTGCAAAAGCCAGTTACTCAAATACTTGCTCCACAAGGATTCCACTACTTTTCTTCAGCAAAAAGAAATGTTGGTCAGGGCACTACCACCAGCCAAAACTGGATCACCTGATGAAATACACTAATCTGGACAAAAGGATATTCACATTGATATGCTAATTTCACAAGGGTTGATTAGCTACAGGTATTTGACAAATCAAACTCCTGAAGTCCACATGATCAATTCATTTTTAAAAAAAAACAATCTACACACCCTAAAACCCAAACAAAAAAGCCTTCATTAAGCAAGCTAGAGCGTATTAGCATTTCAAAGTGAGGCACTCAAACGTTAATAAGTGCCTATATGTGGATGCATTGATAGTATGTGACCATACAACTGAAGCCTTTTCCCCCACATAATATGTTCTTCTCTTAGGATAACCTCCCCACCATTTTAAGTCCTCACTCTAAAGCACAGAGGCACTAAAGCCTCTCAAACAGATACCAGGATATTTTAATTAAGCAAACAATTACTTTCCCCAACTTTGTTCTGAGAGAACTTTACGGAGCTGATTTTGCTGAAGGTTCCAAAAATGTTTCTTGGAGACATTCAGCAAGGAAATTTCAATAATTTGGCAAATTTATAAGTCACTGAAAATGGTTTTATATTGGAAAGTGTTATGCAATACTAACTACAGCAGTGCTGCCTACAATATCATAGAAAAAAAGCAAAAGCTAACTTTAGCAGAATATAGCTGCTAATCTTAACTGTTTCTGAGTAGGCAAAAATATTAAAAAATAGCTCCAGGATTAGCTAAAACTTGGGTTGTGTTTAATTACCGCACGATTCCTGGAAAACTTGTGATAAACAGATTAGCCCACTTAAAATATTAACCATATGCTAATATTAGTCAAGTGCAATATGAAAAATTCAGCTACTGCGAGTATACTCACAATTACAAGTTGGTAAGAAAATGCCATTAAAATAAAGATACCTGATTATGTTCAACAACTCTTCTTTGTTTGAGTGTTACTGGAGTCTTTGTCTTGGCCTTCAGTGGTTCTCTCTTCTCAAGTCTGAACTCTACCTTGGGATCTGAGAATAAAATCAGTCACCATTACCCTGTGGCACTGAAAGAGCCAAAAATCCAACGGAAGAGCCCACTAATATTTTACCTAGAATATTAAAAAAATGCGATCATCTTAAGTAACAGCCAAGACCATAACATAACCCAAATAATGCACTTCATTAAAACAGACCATTTTAGCTGCCAGAATGGTTGAGTTATAACTTGTAATATTCTCTTAATATAACTAATATGGGCAAGTTTGCATTGTGACATACCGCTTGCCAGTATGCAGGTCACTCCCAGATGTGTTTGTGTAACCCCAGCCTGCCAGTCTCATCCTTCCTCTCACCAGCCATGGTTATACTGCAGGGTGACTCTAACACTCTCCCAGGCCTGGCTTTTCCAGGAAAAATGTATGTCTTATATGCCCAGCCTCTCTTGGGCAGTCCAAATATACGAAGTCCATTATTCCTTAAGGGAATAATATACGCACAACTTGCCACCTTAAATGGTGTTACCTAGACATTTCAACTTAAACATGCTAGATTAGATACAACACGTTTATTAACTATAAAAAGATAGATTTTGAGTATCAGCAATGAGGCATAAAAGTTAGAAATGACTAAAATCAGAAATGATTAAAAAGGAAAGAAAGTGCTTTCTAGTTCCCAACAGTTTTCAAGTACATTAAAGGTTGCCACAAGGAGGATGGAGAAAAATTGTGCTCCTTAATCTCTGAGGATAGGACAAGCAATGGGCTTAAATTGCAGCAAGGGTGGTTTAGGTTGGACATTAAGAAAAACTTCCTAACTAAGGGTAGTTAAACACTGAAATTACACCATCTCTTATCATCTAACCTGCTCTTAAAAAAATCTCCAAACACTTGTCAGGGATGGTCTACACTACAGTAACTCCTCACTTAATGTTGTAGTTATGTTCCTGAAAAACGTGATTTTTAAATGAAGCGATGTTAAGCAAATCCAATTTCCCTACAAGAATTACTGTAAATGTGGAGGGAGGGGTTAGATTCCCGGGAAAGTTTTTTCACCAGACAAAAGACTATATTATAAGTTTTAAACAAGCAATTTAATACTGTACACAGCAATGATGATTGTGAAGCTTGGTTGAGGTGGAGGAGTCAGAAGGTGGGATATTTCCCAGGGAATGCCTTACTGCTAAATGATGAAGTAGAACTCAGCTGAGCCCTCAAGAGTTAACACACCGTTGTTAATGTAGCCTCATACACTACAAGGCAGCATGAATGGAGGGAGGGGAGACAGCATGGCAGACAGAAAAAGAGATGCGCATTGCCCCTTAAGTATGCTGACCCCACTCTAAGTACGCTGCCTTTTTAAGTAGATCAGCAAGTTGAGACAGCAGCTGCTGCCTCCAAGCTCCCTCCGTCCTGAGCCCTGTTGTGTTCTCCCCAACTCTATGGAGATAGGGTAAGTGGGTGGCAGGAGCAGGGGGACACCCTGATATTAATCCCCCTCTCTCCCCCCCACCCCACATAGCAAGCAGGAGGCTGGGAGCAGCTCCAAGGCAGAGGGCAGGAGCAGCACATGGCAGTGGGGGGAGGGACAGCTGAACTGCCGGCAATTGATAGCCTGCTGGGGGGTTGCTGCACAGGGAACTTAAGGGAGTGGGGAGCTGATGGGGAGCCCCCACCAGCTAGCTGCAACGGGCTGCTCTTTCTGCAAGCAGTGGACAAAGCAGGCGGCTGCCAAACATTATAAGGGAGCATTGTGCAACTTTAAATGAGCATGTTCTCTAATAGATCAGCCAGGATGACTTAAGTGAAGAGTTACTGTACTTGGTCCTGCCTTGAGTGCAGGGGATTGGATGACCTCTCGAGGTCCCTTGCAGTCCTACAATTCTACATCTCTTTACAACAATCTGTAACCCCTAGCCCACTTTAAGTAGAGGTATTAATGGCCACTTCATTTTGCAATGTGTTAAATCCTACACTTAATCAGTCCCACCTTGTGTTTAGCTGCGACTCCGATTACTTCTCCCAAACCTGAAGAAGAGCACAGTGGAGCTTGAGGTCTGTCTCTTTCCCCAACATAACTTGGTCCAATAGAAGATATTCTCAGCCACCTAGTGTCTCAAACAACTTAGGCTATGTCAACACTATGCAGCTTTTAGCGACACAGCTGCACTCCTACAGCTACGCGGCTAAAAGGCACGCAGTGTAGCCGCTGTTTGTCAGCAGGAGAGAGCTCTCCTGGTGACAAAAAACTTCCACCCCCAACAAGCAGTGTTAGCGTTGTTGGCAGGACAGTGCTCCTGCCAATAAATCGCTGTTCACACCAGCACTTGTCATTGACAAAACTTGTGTCTTTCGGGGTATGCGTGCGCACATTTTTAACACCTCTGAATGACAAAAAGTTGTGCCTTTCACTTGTCAGTGTACACAAAGCCTTAGTAATTTTTATCATGTTACCTTCTTACTCCAGCTCTCATACATCATTACACTGAGCTGTTTTGAATGCCAAAGAGTTATAAAAATCTCATGTATATGAGCCCAACTTTCATTTCTCCTTCCATGTTTGAGCATTTCTTAGAAGAAACATTAGGTAGGAAGAAATAATGGCCAGGTCTATACTATGGGGTAGGTTGAATTTAGCTGCGTTAGGTCAATTTTAAAATGAATGCGTTCACACAACCAACCCCATTCCGTCGACTTAAAGGGCTCTTAAAATAGACTTCTGTACTCCTCCCCGCTGAGGGGAGCAGTGCTAAAATCGACCTTGCTGAGTTGAATTTGGGGTACTGCAGACGCAAATCGATGGTATTGGCCTCCGGGAGCTATCCCAGAGTGCTCTATTGTGACTGCTCTGGACAGCACTTTGAACTCCGATTCACAAACCAGGTACACAGGAAAAGGCCTGGGAACTTCTGAATTTCATTTCCTGTTTGGTCAGCGTGGCGAACTCAGCAGCACAGGTGACCATGCAGTCCCCACAGAATCACAAACAAGCTCCAGCATGGACCAAAAGGGAGACACTGGATCTGATTGCTGTATGGGGAGAAGCATCTGTGCAGGCAGAACTCTGATCAAAAAGAAGAAATGCAAATATATTTGCCAAAATCTCTCAGGGCATGTTGGAGAGGCTACAACAGGGACACACAGCAGTGCCATGTGAAAGTTAAGGAGCTGAGGCAAGCCTACCAAAAGACAAAGGAGGCAACTGGTTGCTCCGGGTCAGAGCCCCATACATGCCGCTTCTATGATCAGCTGCATGCCATTCTAGGAGGTGACCCGACCACTACCCCACCACTGTCTGTGGACACCTGCAAGGGGAGTCTCTCACACAACCGGGAGGAGGAGGAGAAGAATGCGCAGCAGGCAAGTGGTGAATCCGTTCTCCCCAGCAGCCAGGACCTTTTCATCATCCCAGAGCCAACACTCTCCCAAGGCGGGATCCCTGACCCTGAAGCTGGAGAATGCACCTCTGGTGAGTGCACATTTGTAACTACAGGGTTTAAAAGCAATGGTGTTTAATGTTTGATTTGCCTTGAAAAATTGGGATGCATTCGCGGCCAGTACAGCTACTGGAGAAGTCTGTTCACATGTCTGGGGATGGAGCGGGAATTCTCCAGGGACACTTCTATGAAGCTCTCTTCTGGAGGTACTCTGAAAGTAGTCTGGAATCACTGCAGCACAATGCATGGCAGCGAATGGTTCTGGGTTTTGGTCGCATTCAGGCAACATTCGGTCTATATCTTTGTGTTGTTAGCCTCAGGAGAGTGATATCATTCATGATCACCTGGTTGAAATAGGGGAATTTTTGTAAGGGAACAGTAAAAGAACCCAGTTCATGCTGGGCTGTTCGCGCTTGGCTAAAAGGGATCATCCCAGAGAATAGCCACGCAGTGGGGTCACAGGAGGTGTGTGCTTCACATCCACCCGAAAACTGCAGCCCCTCTTTTTAAATGTGAAGCCCAACCCATTGCTTGCTATGGGAAAGAATGGTGCTGCAGTTTGAAATCATTCTCACATGTTATGCATAAGAAGCCAACCCTGTGTACCCTTTGCCTTACCATGGCTGTATGGAAACCGAACTCTGTTGCCTAGCCATGTGTGATGTGTCACCATACTGGCAGGCGCTCAATATAAAAGGCAAAATGCGACCTCGTACCTAAAGCACATGTGCTGTCTGCTGTGAATTGCTTGTTTCACTGTGAAAGAAAGAGTCTCCCTTTTGTTCTCAGAAAGGAATCTTAAATATTAGTCTCCCTTTTCATCTCCCACCAGGTGCAAATGTTTATAGGATCCCCCTACCACCTCCGTCCCTGAGGTTATCCCAGATTAGAAAGGGGAGGGAAGAAAAGCACTCCCGATTACATGTTTTCTAAGCTCCTGCAGTCCTCCCGCACTGATAGGACACAGTTGAATGCATGGAGACATTCAGTGTTAGAGGCTATGAAAGCATTATGTGAGCACGAAGAGCAGAGGCAGGAGGCGATGCTAAGGCTAATGGGGGAAGCAAACGGACACGAAGCATCTGGTGCAGCTGCAGGAAAGCTAACAAGAGCACAGACCCCTGCGGCATCGATTGTACAACCGCCTGACCTCCTCCCCAAGTTCCCTATCCTCCTCAGCCAGATGCCTAATAGAACCCGGGGGGGGGGGGGAGGAGGAAGGAGAGACATGCATGGAAGAGGCTCCAGGCACCCAGCCACTCCACTCCAGTGGATGGCCCAAGCAAAAGAAGGCTGTCATTCAAACAGTGATTTGTAGTGTGGCTCCTCCTCCCTCACCTCATCCCACTCGGGCTACCCTGTCAGTTATCCCCCCCCCCTTTTTTAAATTAATAAAGAAAGAATGCATGGTTTCAAAACAATAGTTACTTCATTTCGAGGGGGTGAGGGTGGTTGGCTTACAGGGAATTAAAATCAACAAAGGGGGTGGGTTTGCATCAAAGAGAAACACACACAGCTGTCACACCGAAGCCTGGCCAGTCATGAAACTGGTTTTCAAAGCCTCTCCAATGCACAGCATGCCTTGCTGTGCTCTTAT